AGTATGAGGCTGACAATACGGCCGGCTAAGTGGAGCTCCTGTCATTGCAACGACATGGATCAAGGATGCCTCGGGATCGCCACACAATAACCAATGAGTTTGACAAGGTAGGTTCCCAAGAAGCAGCCTGTATAGCAGGATGCTAGACATATGCATAAGTCACTTACCCTAGCACCATACCAGCTATGCACACTTGTGGTTGGAGCCGGCTGGTCTAAGGACTTGGGCCTTAGGGTTTGGGGCATGAGGTTAAGTTTCAGGTTCCAAGTTTGGGTTTGGTAACGCAACTTTCGAGGCGCAGGCTTAGGATTTGAGTGCTTTGATCTCGGGGGAAGCCTGCTGAGTAGTTGGTAATACTGTTCGCACAACCGTCCTTCTTACAACTTCCACAGAACATTCCCCAAATCGCTTCTAATTGTTAAGACCGCCATGGACCTTCGTAAAGTTCTTTGCTTGGCTGGGAAAGACCGTGTCCTGCTACAACTGCCTCGAAATCGCCTCAGAAAGAAGCCTGAAAACCCTGAGAGAAAAAATCAAAATGAAAAAAGTATGGCATATTTCACTTATCTAGCGATATATATATATATATATATATATATATATATGCATGTATATATATATATATATATATATATATATGTATATGTATATGTATATGTGTGTATATATATATATATATATATACACACGTTGTATGTATGTATGTATGTATGTATGTATGTATGTATGTATATATGTACATATATACATATATATGTATGTTTATGTATATATATATATATATATATATATATATATGCATATACATACATACACACAAGTGCACACACACATCACATATATATATATATATATACATATATATGTATGTATGTATGAATGTATGTATATACATCTATATATACATATACGTACATACACACATGCACACATATATACATATATATGTATATATACATACATACATACATATATACATATGTATATATATATATATACGTATATGCTGTTTGCTTTGAGGATACAGAAAAGCCCCAAACCAATGCCTGCAGATCCTATTCACCTCGGCAGAAGAGTTTTCCGCAAAAACCTATGCACTTGCCGGACCCTTGCCTGCTGCATCACTGCACCGCCCCACAAGGCGCCAAGGCAAACTGCAATGAGGAGAATCTCACCTCGGTTTAGGGCTTCGGGTTTCGGGTTTAGGGTTCAGGGCCCAACCATTAAGGAGGTATAGGGCTTACTAAACCGGTTACAACAATGACCTTCTAAAGGTCAAGCGGGCAAGGCATCACAGGAGTCACAGTGTCATCAAAGCGCGATAGGCGACATTAAAAGGCTGACAAGTAACAAACAATTGATATTCAAGCCGGATGCAGACAAGACTCTATCCTATTTTCGGCACCCGTAAACTTTCGGAGCGCCAACAAACCGCCCCCTCCACAATCCGAAGGCCAGAAATCTTCCCCACCAAGGCAGGTTCAAACCGGCCGGCCGACATGCGACAGCTCCGTTAGGCAAAAATCCTAATCTAGGGGCCTTCATAATCAGAATAGGGTTGTGGGACCCATTATGCCATAGTTGTAATAAGGAACTCCCAAAAATAGTATTGGCCCCTATAGCTAACCTTGATTCCGATGCCAAACCCATCGCTTTCTCAAGAAAAGGCTGGAGCCAAGCTCAAGCTTAAACACTTAGGGTTTAGGGTTTAGGGTTTAGGGCACCGAAATGTCTCAAGCACTTCTGTAGCTCCTCGTCATCAATTCTCCTACTCTAAGGTCTTGATAAGCAGGATCCAACTATTCGGGAAGCTGTAAGTACATCCCGTAGTTTCGGAAACTGCAAATTCACATGCAAGGCTGGCATTAACGCTAACCCTGCAAACCCCCAACCCAAAACCGAGAACCCATGAAACAGAAACCCTTAACCGATAAAGCACAAACCCTGATGCCTGATGAACCCTGAACCCTACCCTAAACCCTAAACCCTAAACCCTAAAGCCATGAAACCCAAACCCGACCCCCTGAACCCCAAAACTCGGAGGCCTCAAAAGGTGGGATGAAGGTGGGTTTAGGGTTTAGGGGTTTAGGGTTTAGGGTTTAGGGGTTTAGGGTTTAGGGTTTGGGGTTTAGGGTTTAGGGGTTTAGGGTTTAAGGTTCAGGGTTTAGGGTTTAGGGTTTAGGGTAGGTAGGATCAAGGATCCCTTTATATAAGGACTCTTAATTGGGAATATCCCACTTACCTTCATCCCACCTTTTGAGGCCTCTGAAAAACCGAGACGAGGCACGAAGCGGCGATGATAGCGTATTTGCCAGCTGCGTCCTCAGCCCAGCGTCTTGCTCCAGCGAGGGGTTTGGGCTTGGATCGAAAGTGCGTGGGAGTTTGGGCTTGCACAATTCATAGGGACCCTTGGGGGGGGTAGGGGGGGAGGGGGACAGGGGACTATACTTGCTTAAATAGGCCTCGTTAGGTCCTTCTTATTCGTATTAAGGCCCCCACTACCCCCCCTAAGCATCCTTATGAGCTCAGGGTTTAGGGTTCTGTTCTTATAAGGGTCTAAAGTTAACCTGGGGGCCTGGAAAACTAGAATAGGGTTTCGTTGTATGTTCTCGGTAAGTTATGTAAGGACCACAAGGGGACACGGATAGGATTAAAACCTTTTCCCGGTACTTTCTCAAAACTGCCGGGCTTGAGGGTGCAAGGCTCTTGTTTAAAAGTTGCTGGGATTTCAATCAGAAAAGGCTTTCGACCGCCTGATTCAGTCCATTATGCTACAAGTATAAAGAGGAGCCCTTCGAATAGTATAGGTAATTGTTTAGGCCCCTATAATATGTTTAGGGCTGACCTGGCATGGAAAAGTGCACTTCGTAAGGACATACTCGGGCCAGTAACTGTCTGTTCCACTGTTCCATCTGTGTGGCAAGGAAGCTCAGCAAACCAGAAGTTAGAGTCGGACGGTTTAGGGTTTAGGGTTAAGGTTGACGCCCTGGTGATTCGCTTGGACTTAGACTGCCGGGCTCCCCCATTTTGGCGCTTCAGGTCCAGACGGTAGGGCATAAGGGTGGATCCCTAAACCCTAAACCCTAAACGATCCCGAAGCTGGTGTCCTATTGAAAGGACTCTCGAAACCTCCCAAGCCTTCCACGCTTTGGTGTTTGCAGTCGCGTTCCCGAGCTGAATTTGGGGCTTTAGGTCCTAGAAGAAGACTATGACCATTGTTAATATAGCTATGACCATAAACATGAATAAGGAGCGGAGCTGGCGCGGCGTGTCACTCGTGCTTGGGAAGTGGGTGCACCGGGAATCAAAGCTCACAGTTTAGGCTTTTAAGCTAACTCGGGCTTACAGGACTACCCAGAGAACCCAATACCCCTTAATTAAGGAATATACCTTAAATCATAATATAAAGGCCCCTATAATTTACGGTATATTCCTTATTTAAGGGGCATTGGGCTCTCTGGGTAAACGGACTTTCGGATTGAGACTGAAAGCAAATCACGACAGGGCGCACCCCTATCGCGAGAAGCAGCGTCGCGTAGATGGACGCGCTCATGGCGGCGGCGGTGCGCAGGGAGTGGACACCCCAAACCCAGTTGAGGGGGCTGTAAGGCTTCCCCGTTTTGGGCTGTAGGGTTTAAGGCTACGGTACAGTACAGTAGATCGGGTTCCCGCGCTCGGTCCTTCGTTGTGCGGACCAAGATCTGGGCACTAGGCTCTAACCTCTGTCAGCTGCAACCTTGCTTGGCCGAAGGTCGTTTTTTAAAGCCCCTTTGCCTTGCGTGGGTCTCGGCTTCGGGATTCCGGAATTAGGGCTTAGGGTTTAGATTTCTAGGAGTAGACGAGTAGACTACAGTAATGCAAACAGCCCTGCAACCTCTGTGCCGATGAGCTGCGACTGCCCGGGAACAGACGTTTTGAAGCTTGGGCTTGCAGGGGAGAGGATTTCTCGGGTATACAGGATTTCCGGTCTTGAAGCAATGTCGACATCAGGTTATTGCCGCCTGCACAAACCGCAGAAACAAATGGCAAAAAGCCTCACACTAAAGTCCTTCGACATCCCTCTCCATTTATCTATCTCTCTCTCTCTCTCTCTCTCTCTCTCTCTCTCTCTCTCTCTCTCTCTCTCTCTCTCTCTCTCTCTCTCCTCTCTGTCTCTCCTCTCTCCTCTCTCCTCTCTCCTCTCTCCTCTCTCCTCTCTCCTCTCTCCTGTCTCATCATCCTCTCTCTGTCTCTTCACCCTCTCCCTCTCTCTCTCTCTCTCTCTCTCATGTCTCTGCGTCTCCGCTCTCTCTCTCTCGCTCTCTATTTCTATCTCTCTCTCATCTCTCTCTCTCTCTCTCTCTCTCGTCTTGATGTCTCTCTCTCTCTTTTCTCTTCTCCCTCTCGCTCTCTCTCTCTCTCCTCTCGTTCTCTCTCTCCTTCTCTCCGTTCTCTGTCTCTCTCTCTCTCTCTCTCTCTCTCTCTCTCTCTCTCTCTCTCTCTCTCTCTCTCTCTCTCTCTCTGTCTTCGTCTCTATCTCTCTCTCTCTCTCTCTCTCTCTCTATCTCTGTCTTTCTCTCTCCCTCTCTCTCTGTCTCTCTCTCTCTCTCTCTGTCTCTCTCTCTCTCTCTCTCTCTCTCTCTCTCTTGCTTCAGTCTTCAGAGCACGGGGTTTCCCCTGGCGCTGCACAGCTGCGCAACTGTATCGAGATGGGCTAGGTAGGTTCACATTCACATTCACGTATGCAAGCGCTTACTAAAAAATCCGCGTGTTGGTTTTCGGCTTGCTAGTCACCCCATACGAGACCCCCAACTCAAATACTCATCCTCGCCAATATCCCCGAGGAGCCCAACATGCACGCAGCAAAACAGTAGTAAACGCCCGAAAACCCTTATAAAGCCCTGATAGAAACTTTGTAGGAATCCGTAGGAGCCCTTGCAGGAACGAACCCCTGAAGGAACCATCAAAGGAACCCATAATCCCCTCCCCTGCTTCATGCGAGGACATGAAGTCTGCTGATCCTCCAGCTTCTTGGCCACTGGCGCCAGGGAGTCCTCCAGAGCTTGTGCGGTTAGAGCTTAGGGCATAGGGCTGTAGGGTTTAGGGTAGAGTCCCTTACATGGGCACTCGGTACTTGTGGGTGATGTTGATAGTCTACTTTCAACCTACAGTGGAAGCCCAAAAATTGGAAACCCAATAGCCTCAATCCTTAAGAGTAATGTAGAGGGAATCCCAGCACTATTTGGCCTTAATCCGGTTTCCAACTTTATGGAGTTTACTGTATAGTCAGCTCTCTCACGAGTCTTGAGTCTGAAGTCGTTTCTTCTCAGGCTGGCAAGGGCTTAGTGTTGCCCCCTTCGTACTTGTACAGGATCTATTCCCTTCTTGGTAGCTGCACAAACTTTTTCCAGTTTCCGGCATGAATGTACTTGGGTTTTCAGCAGTAGGCCTCAAGGAGAACGCACATCGTGACTGCGCGAATCTTAGTTGCCCGTTTCCGATCCTACTTCTTGAAACTGCGTAACAGTCACACTGACTGTGAGGCACATCAAGACTGCAACAGCATTCGGTATGACAACTCTGAGTGGTTTCTTTGGGACCATGAAGTGTCATCATATCCAACATCAGCTTTACATCTTCCTTCGCAGGGCGCTGAGCTGCAACTTACCTGAAGCGGTTTGCATTGTCTTAGTCGACAGGTCGCGGCATCAGACGCAACGTGCAGCGGACGGATGAGAGTTCAGAATTTAGGCTGTAGGGATTAAGATCCAGACCATGGGCCTAGGTTAGTTCGGGTTTCGGGTTGGGGTTTAGGGCGTCACGGGGTTGGCGGAAGTTAGGATTTAGGACTCAGGATTTAGCGAGTTTGGGCATAAACATGTTCATAACGATACGTAACATCGGGGCCTTAAGAATAGGACAACGTTTGGGTATGATGGTATACAGCATTGAGGAAGCTTAAGGAATGGTATTGGAACATGAGGCAACTCCAAGGACTCTTATTTCTACTTCTTCAAGCTACACGTATGTGTGTGTGTGTACGTCTATATACATATACATACACATATATATATACAGATTAATTATACATATATATATATATATATATACAGGTATATAGATAGATAGTTACAGACATATAATATATATATATATATATATATACCTCGTCTCGACACAGCAGGCTCCGTCCTTCTTGTTGGGCTTCCCATCGGGGCGGCCCATGTGACCTGGCTTCTTTTGGGGCTCGGAGCTAAAATGGTGCTATCTGCAACACCCGAACGCCGGAAACCCTGAAACCCGCGAGTTCAACCCTTCACCCAGAGGCCGTGGCCCTACCCCTTGGCTCGTAAAACCCCATTATTTGACCCTGACAAGACCCGCTAAAGGCCCTTCTAGAACCCAATATAGGGGGCCAAAATAATTAGAATAGGGTTTTTGGGGGGCATGCTATACTAGAGCTACAACAAGGAACCCCCAAACCCTATTCTAATTATCAAGGCCCCAACACTAAATCCTTCTGATAGCATACCTTAGATATAGAAAGGAACCCCCAAAAATAAGATAGGCAATTATTGTGGCCCGTATGTTAAAACCTCCCGCCCCAAATGTCTGGTGGGGTCCCGGGCTCATGAGCACGACGCTCTTGGCGCCCTTATCCAGGGCCACCTTGATCGTCGGAATGGCACCAACCTTTGAAAGGAGAGAGGGTTCAGAGGGCTTCGTGCGGTTCGTCAAGCTTGAAGGTTCGGAGAACCCCTGCACACCCCGCACCCTACCCTAAGCCCTGCTTTTCTTCTAGAGGGTCTCGTAGCGCTTTCGCAAGCCGGCCTGGTGGAGGTTTTGAAGATTGCAGAGTTTTGGCCCCAATCATCAGAAGGTATAGTTAGTCTACCGTGAGCATTCAGGCTTCTGTGCCAGGGCGTCAGGGTTCGGTGCTTTTGGGGCCTGGGGCTTCGGGTTCAGTTGCCATAAATAAGATAAGATAGGGTTAGAGTCAGAAAACCCCATTTGAGGTCCTTCAACCTTACTTGCCAGGTCCCCCAATGATTCGAGTAGCGATGTAGGATTTTCGGGTACGGTGTTTGGGTTTTTAGGGCTTGGGGTTCGGAGCGAACAAGCCTTAGGGATTTGGGGCAGTTGAGGGCTGAGGATTTTTTGGAGATTATGGTTTTAGGTTGTTTCAGACTGTTGCGTTACGACTTGGCCGAAAACTTCTTAACTCTGTTGCTGGAAAGCTGATAAAGAACTGCTGTATAGCTGATGTTCAATGCGAATTCTGGCTCTCATGATGCTGACCAAAAGGTTTTTTTGGTGCGACGGAACCTGCTCATGATGCTGAACATCTGCTCATGATGCTGACCAAAACGTTTTTGGTGTGTGTTGCACTGGGAGCCCAGAAAATCGTATGAGTGTAAACCATGAAAAATAGCTGATGCGCTGCTAACCGACCCCGACGACAAACTGACACTGACCGCCGGTGGAGCTGCTCGCCATGTCATATGGCCTGGGCACAAATGCCAATGAGAGCAATCTAATCTGAATCTGCAAAGCCTTACATTGCAGAAGCGAGGCCACCAGCGCATCGTCTCTGGCACGACCTGCAAACAGACAGGCAGGCACCAAAATATGGATGATATTATGGTTGTGATAATAGACATGGCTGGGCCTGAGCTGCTGTCTTATTTCTGCTCGGCAGGTGAGCTGACGGTGGTCTCAGCAGCTAGGCTGTCCGGTGGGAAAAAACCGTGTCCTTTAAAGGCTCGTGGATTAAAAACCCACCAGAATCAGAATGATGATGTGTCGACACAGTCTGTTGAGCTCAGGCCCTCGGCTCCGCTGGCGATAGAATTAGAATGACAGACACCTGACAAATTGCATGTGTCGACCACAGTCAGTCACTGACAACTGACTAGGAGAATGGTGGCGCTGACACAGACACAACGTCTGTCAAAATCGCCGTAAGACTACGATTTGCAATGGTCGACGCTGCAACAGCAGACAACACACAGAGATAGTATTATGACAACTAACACCTAGTTAGAATCACAACTGCTTTACCGGTTGTGCATACACATCGTTCCTTAACGCAGTGTGACCAAAGATCCCGCTAGGTGGCTTTAAAATCAGGCCTTGCGGCCTGCCACTTTCTCGTGATTGACTGAATCCGGCCATGCGACAGCTGTGACTGACAGTTGTTGTTGACGGCTGCAAAAATACGGATAAGTTCAAACCAACGATTGACGACAATATTTTATCAACTTGAGCTTGAACCCGCGGTGCCGCATGCTTCAGATGACACAGACACAGACACAGTCATCACACAATCTCAGCGGAGCCGTCTTTGAGGATCAGCTGCTTCGCCAGGGCGATAGCGATGCCGTAAGGCGTCAGCTCGCCGCCCTCCGACCCTGGTTTCTTGAAGACCCAGCGCAGCGCGAGGCGGTCGTTCGCCGTTGCCATGGCCAACACCTGACAGACAAACAGTAAATAAGTTGTCGTGGCTGTTGTTGTGGTTGATGATGCTGCTCTTGTGACTGATGTCATGGTTGTTGTTGTTGTTGTTGATGTTATTGTTGTTGCGGTGGTGGTGGTGGTGGTGGTGGTGGTGGTGGTGGTGGTGGTGGTGGTGGTGGTGGTGGTGGTGGTGGTGGTGGTGGTGGTGGTGGTGGTGGTGGTGGTGGTGGTGGTGGTGGTGGTGGTGGTGGTGGTGGTGGTGGTGGTGGTGGTGGTGGTGGTGGTGGTGGTGGTGGTGGTGGTGGTGGTGGTGGTGGTGGTGGTGGTTGGAGTTGTTGTGGTTATTGTCGTTGTTGCATTGTCGCCGTGATCGTTGATTGCTTGTGATTGTTTGGTCGACTGTTTAATAACAAGCATGTTATTGTTGTCTTTCTGTTTGTTTGTTTGTTTGTTTGTGTTTGTGTGTGTGTGCCACGCCTCCTGCACACGAGCATCGTTGGCCACGAACACTTTGTTCGACGCCGGCTTGTACTGCTCGTTGTGCTCCGCCACTGTCTTCGCCTTCGTCTTCTCCATCAAGGCACTGACAGCGATAGCCGCTGGCGACGACGAGCTGACGCTGATGTCGTCCTTGTTGAAAACCAACGTCTGGCGGGCGACCTTGTAAGGGACCGCATGCGCCAACACTGGGTCCGTCATCTTCATGATCTTTCCTTCTCTGACGACGGAGAGCATGCAATGCGGCGGGAGCTTCTTGTTGGTCTGGACGTCGCAGATGATGCTGACCTTGATCTTGCCGTCCGACCGCAGGAAGCTGACCTGGTAGCTGTTGTCGTTCACGCGAATCGTGTTCTGGAGGACGACTGACCCTGGTGGCACTGCTGGCGTCGGAAACGGCGCCGGGGTCGGCTTAGCTGGCACCTCGGCCTCCGGCTTCGGGGCCTCCGGCTTCGGGGCCTCCGGCGCCGACGCTGGCACTGGAGGGGCCGGCTGTGGCTTGCCAGTGTCGACGGCAGGCGCTTCAGGATCCTGCAAAAGCAGGTTTGCACAATTTAAATTTACAGTCTTTCGGCGTCAATATTGTAATAAGGCTTGGCACTTGGCACAGGCATGCTGCGTAGGTCAATGCAATACTACCAGTCCTGCGCTGTCACAGTCGCCGTGCCTGGGGACGCCGTAGGACTCTCCTGGAAATAGTTTTCCAGAGTCCCTCTGAACTTCTTCACCGGGGTCGACTCGTGGATCGACGACTGGTTGGCTGACGACGACGCTGGCGGCAAGGCGCCGAAACTGATGCAAAGGGGCGACCCAGACGCAATGCCAGCCCCATTGCGCGTCCGCACCTTCACCGACAACAGGCCGTCCGTAAATCCGTTGTCCTAGGTGAAGGACACAGGTCACGTCTGCAAGCAGTAGAAATCTGAAACATGGTATATTCAAAACATGACTAAAGCATCTGCAGCCCCGATTCCGGGCAGACATCCAGACGGCAGTTCGGCGACTTGCCTAGGCGGCAAGCAGCACAGTTATATTAAATAATAGGAAGCAGCAGGGGAAAAAAACTTCAGTGAAAAGTGGAGACTTGTCACATGGTCGCACTCCAGCCGTAACCCGGTACCTGGAGAGTTATGGCACGAACCTGTTTCAAACCAGAGCCGAGTCACGCTGGGCGTCGCTGAAGGGCGTGAGGTACTGCGCCCAGCCGACCAGGACTGCGTACAAGGTGATCTTCAAGTCGACGCCGTGATCGAAGTTTTCCAGTCTGACCACTCGGTCGCCTTATGTACTGCCAGCTCAGGTCAACAATAATTAAAAAATCGTCGTAGCATTCAGCCGTCTGTCCTGCAGTCAGACAGATGGACTATACTATTATGCTCTGATTCCAAATTCCTTGCACCCTGCCATCTAGCAGAAAAGTCCCTACTGTTGCTTCCAAAGTCTCGCAGTGCCCCATGCCCGTCTCGAGCGAGGAAAGCCTGCAACTTGTCCAGGTTGGTGAAGAAGAGGGCTGACGCTGGGCCAATGGTGTCTCCATCTCTGAAGGACCTTCATGTCGAGCACTCTACCAGAATCATGTGACAAAATAATATCAGAGTATCGAACAAGTACTCGTAACATTGACTAAATGACTGGTTGATTCATTGACTTACGGTTTGACTGACGGCCTGATTGATTGGTTGATATTGGCCCCTCGATAAGTAAGTAAGCCCTGCACTTCTTCGCGACCGCAACTCGGCCGGACGCAGAAGCTTCGATGCCGAGGGAGTACTCCATCAACTGCGACTGCACGAGATTGCGGACCTTCTCTGCCAGGCCGGTCTGGTCCACATCGACGCCGCTCCGCCACGACTCTGACACCGGCACGTCCTTCGCATAGATCATGGCCTCCTCTCTGTGCGTCCATCGATTATCGACTCCAAAACTCTGAATCCTATTGAGAAACTTCCAAACCTAAACCCCTTAACCCCAAATCCAAAAAAAAAACCTAGACACTGAACTCTCACAATTATGGCTGCAGTGGCGGATCCTCGAGCTCAGGGACGCTGACGCCGGTGATGAACGATATGCTGTCGGGGCCGATTCTCTTGCGGCCGACGACCGACCGCTGGGCCTCCGACAAACGCCTGTGCGTGCAGATCGACCGGAGGAGCTCCTTGGCGTGGCCGACAGAGTGCTCGTTGGGCCCCTCGACCAAACAGAAACATTCAAGGCCGACGGACTCGCAGGCGACAGCCGACGCAGGGTGGGAGGTCCTGTCAGGGTGTGGTCTCAAGTATCAAAAATAAATACAGTCTATAGTCACGCTGAACATTCGAGAAGCTAAGGCTGACATTGACATGGCTTAGGCAAAACGTTCAAGAAGCGCCTCGACAGCAGAACGACCTTCCGACACGACTCAGAGTGGCCAATCTCCTTGAGCATTCGCTCGTACCACACCACTGGCCTGGCGAAGCAATAGATGTCCTTGGCCCCCGCAAGGTCGACTTCCGACTCTGACGCAGGCTCATCCTCCTCACCAGGCGCCTCCGACACTTCGAGCTCGTCTTCTTGGCGTTCCTCCATGTCGTCACGGTTGATCTCGCTCTCAGGGTCCATGGCTGCGGCGGCTTTGGCGCCCTGCAGGGCACACAACAATTGGCTGGAGGACACTGACTGTGCCTTTCAGCTAACACGACTGACCGACCTCGGGCACATCCGACGCTGAAGCTGGCCGGTGCTTGCAGCGAGGGTCCGTGCAGCGCTGGTTCGTCAGCTCGTAATGCTGACAACAGACCCTGTTGATCGCCACACCAGCAGGGATCGATTCTGCACCGAACGCCTTGCCCTGGCCTCGGACGACGTAGGTCGGGGGCAAGTTGAGCGACTGACCCCGACTGCCGTCCAAAAAGCACTGGACGATGAAGGTCAGCAAGCCATGGTCCTTCAGCTTTGCCTCGACTGGGAACAGGGGCTTAGTAATTAATTAAGGGCTTAATAAAACTTCTCAGGCTACCCAAGCAGCATGCAAATGGCAACTTTCTGCTTCAGGCCTTCAGGATGTGCAAGAGCTCCAACCTCGACCCTGTCGGCACCAGGATCTTCACGAAGTCTTTGCCACAGATTTTGAACGCCGTCTCAAGAAGGTAGACCATGGCATCCGTGAGGATCTTCGGCTTCGACGTCCGGGCATCAAGGACGAGTAGCACCTTCTCCCGCGGCTGCAGGACGCTCTCGAGCTGACGGGTGAAGTCCGGCCGACTGCTGTTGTAGTAGATGTGTATCCTCGACAGCTGGCTCTCCGCGAGCTCCTCGGCCTTGACCCATGCCGGGTCCTAGCTGGACGGAAATGGATGCACGATTGATATGGGCAGTGGCAGTGCCAAGGGACAGACAGACGCCCGACAAAGATGGGTGTCCGGCAGTGGCAGGGCATGCACAGACAGACAGTGTGCAGACGGACGCAGGTGGCAACACGCACGCTCATGAGCACAATGTCACAAGGCCTCCCGTGCTTGATGGCTCGCACACTTCAGCAGCATGGCACATTAGGACCACGCTGT